GGGTTACCAATCAGAATCTGAATATGGGGTTACCAAACTGAATCTGAATATGGTGTTACCAAACAGAATCTAAATATGGTGCTACCAATCAGAATATGGGGTTACCAATCAGAATCTGAATATGGTGTTACCAAACAGAATCTAAATATGGTGCTACCAATCAGAATCTGAATATGGGGTTACCAATCAGAATCTGAATATGGGGGGTTACCAATCAGAATCTGAATATGGTGTTACCAAACAGAATCTAAATATGGTGCTACCAATCAGAATCTGAATATGGTGTTACCAAACAGAATCTAAATATGGTGCTACCAATCAGAATATGGGGTTACCAATCAGAATCTGAATATGGGGTTACCAATCAGAATCTGAATATGGGGGGCTACCAATCAGAATCTGAATATGGTGTTACCAATCTGAATATGGTGTTACCAAACAGAATCTAAATATGGTGCTACCAATCAGAATATGGGGTTACCAATCAGAATCTGAATATGGTGTTACCAATCTGAATATGGTGTTACCAAACAGAATCTAAATATGGTGCTACCAATCAGAATATGGGGTTACCAAACAGAATCTGAATATGGTGTTACCAAACAGAATCTAAATATGGTGCTACCAATCAGAATCTGAATATGGTGTTACCAAACAGAATCTAAATATGGTGCTACCAATCAGAATATGTGGTTACCAATCAGAATCTGAATATGGGGGTTACCAATCAGAATCTGAATATGGGGTTACCAAACTGAATCTGAATATGGTGTTACCAAACAGAATCTAAATATGGTGCTATCAATCAGAATATGGGGTTACCAATCAGAATCTGAATATGGTGTTACCAAACAGAATCTAAATATGGTGCTACCAATCAGAATCTGAATATGGGGTTACCAATCAGAATCTGAATATGGTGCTACCAAACAGAATCTAAATATGGTGCTACCAATCAGAATATGGGGTTACCAATCAGAATCTGAATATGGTGTTACCAATCAGAATCTGAATATGGTGTTACCAATCAGAATCTGAATATGGGGGGTTACCAATCAGAATCTGAATATGGTGTTACCAAACAGAATCTAAATATGGTGCTACCAATCAGAATATGGGGTTACCAATCAGAATCTGAATATGGTGTTACCAATCTGAATATGGTGTTACCAAACAGAATCTAAATATGGTGCTACCAATCAGAATATGGGGTTACCAAACAGAATCTGAATATGGGGGTTACCAATCAGAATCTGAATATGGGGTTACCAAACTGAATCTGAATATGGTGTTACCAAACAGAATCTAAATATGGTGCTACCAATCAGAATATGGGGTTACCAATCAGAATCTAAATATGGTGCTACCAATCAGAATATGGGGTTACCAATCAGAATCTGAATATGGTGTTACCAATCTGAATATGGTGTTACCAAACAGAATCTAAATATGGTGCTACCAATCAGAATATGAATATGGGGGGTTACCAATCAGAATCTGAATATGGGGTTACCAAACTGAA